CTACACTGAGATTCAAATACTACATTATTCTGAAAGCGTATCAACAATAATTGAATATTTTCGAGAATAAATTATTTAAAATTTTACTTGGTTTTTTGTTTTGATCAAATTAAGTTGTTGAAAATCTTGCATGTTAATGTTTAAACATCGTATATATGTACAAATATATTTAAAAAGTTCTAAACTGGAAGAGCAAGGAAAATATTTAATTGAGATTTAATTTAGAAAATGAATTTAATATCTCGTATATTACTTTATTTCTGGTCAATTATCTAAAATATTTATTTTTTAGACATGTTTTAGATTTAAGAATCAATAGATTACTTAACTGATATCTCATTTCACTAAATTCACGATTCTACGTGTCCTTAATTCAATATATGAATATTTGATCCTGTGCGTATCTTTTACCAATTACGTTCTTTTAATTTTAGAATTCATAGCCTTTGAAAGATTGCTGAATTAAATTTTACTTACTATATATTTGTTGAAACTGTTCGCGACGTCTGAAAATTAGTGTTGAAACATCACAGTGACCACATGATAGACTATTTTAAGGTAGTAATTAGTAGATGAGACATTTGCGAGAAATTCCGGATCGAAGACGGCTCGTTTACTGGATGGTGCAGTAGTTCGAGCAAACGTCAATGTGGACGTTACAGTGGTTGAGTTTTAATTATAGAGAAACTCCTACAGCTTTGCTTGAGTGTCCTCTAAAATTATTCCCTAATTCGTTGAATATATACTCACATTGAGATCGTGTGTGTTGTGTGAATCCTTTGTCTGTATCTCTAACTCTATTTTCAACAAATGTTTTACAAACTATTACATTAACTAGGCACTTTTTGTAATGACTGTTTTAATTCAAGTATTTATTTATTTAAAATTGCGTTCTTGTCTAATAATTCATACTATTCTTATGTTTCAGTTTTGTAGTATCTTTAGATTTATTTTGAATTTGTTCTAAAAAGAAGAATATGCATGAATAAAAACAATAAATATTTATTTTATTTAATATTTATTAAATTTTAAAGAATAAATTAATATGCAAATTACTCAAGACTTTTCCATGTAACAAAATAAATAAGTAAATAAAATTAATTAATTAATTAATTAAATAAAATCTATATAAAGAGTAAAGTTTTTAATAATATTTAAAAGCACTCTATATTTTTTTTATTCTGCTTTTTTTTATAATTATTACATTATATTGTTACAACATAATTTTACACACACGCGCACGCGCGCACACATATATAAGAAATCGATATAATGGCGTACTATCTGAATGTTAGCTTCGTAACTATCGGTGAGAAATAAAGAAAAACTAATAATGCTCACCAATATCGAAACAGTTGGAATTATAGATTTGAAATTATTTGCATATTAATTTTACAGTAAAAGGGTCCGTCGTCATTTATAGCTCGGTTATTTTAACTGAAATTCGT